TGCTGTGCTGCCCTGGGCCAAGTGCCCTTAAACTGAAATGCAAATGGCCTGAAGCCTTCCCAACCAGTCACTGCCTGGCTGGGATTAAAGATCTGCTAACTCCACTGCTCCAGCTTCACAGTCAGGATCATTCTTGTCCAAGTTCATCCAAGGCTTCATGCTTTTTTGCTGTGCTGGCAGTATTTCTAGCACCGTCAGGTGAGGAGTCCTCCTGCCATTCACCTAGGTGGAGGAGATAACCCAGATCAGTTGGAGGCTTCTTGCTGTTCTTGCATGCTAGAAGGGCACTCGAATGGCTTGGTCCAACCATCTCCACATGCTGACACAGGCTGATCCATGCTGCCCGCAGCCACAATCCAGCACCTGGCTCCATCCCTGCCCTCCTGGCCAGGGAGCTGTGACCATCCTGCAGCTGCAGGGATACCACTCTGGCTGGCAGACCAGGCGTACTCCCTTCCCCGCTGTGCCCCGCGAGGGTTTACACACCAGAGGTGAGATGGAGCCCAATGTGAGCAGCCAGAGGTGCAGGGGAGGAGGTGGGGAGCATGGATTTGGGGAGCTCCCGGGATGTACTTTGAGGTGTGTCTAACACACCTGCATGAGCAGGAGTCATTCCCACTTCCCCAAGCTGTAACTTCAGGCTCGCCCAGATAAATCACCTTGTCCAGGTACCCTTTGATAACATTTGCAGGATTATCTTCACCACTGAGGAATATATTTCCATATTAATTTAATGAAAGCCAAGATTCTGGAGTCAGCAGGAGCCGGAGCCTCACAGACGGCTCCTAATCCAGGAAATTGGATGTGGTTGGAAATGTTTCAGCAGGCAAAGCTTGGGAGATCCTGCTGTGGCTCATTCCTGATGTGAGGCTATGTGTCCACGAGATAATAAATCTGAGTTTAGTGCACCTAATCCTGAATTTAAAATACCACAACCCACATAACACAAAGTGGCTAAACAGGTACGAAGATGTTCTCCCAGTGGAAAGATGTTGCAAATCACTGAACAAGTAATTGCAGCCGAAACAGGCTTTTGCCAGCTGGAGAGCAGTGTATACAGGTGGACTTTGGTCACGTAGTCCACAGGATTTTCAGCCAGGCCCCTTCCCAGTCCTCCAAGGTCATGACTCAGGATGCCCCGTCTATTGTAGCATCCCTCACAAGCAGGTCTGGGGCAGATCTTCCCTCTTTTGCTTGAGACATTTGCCTGACTGGGCTATTTCTTTGGCAGCTGCCAAACCACTTTAGTTAGAGCCACCCAACAGCTCAGCCCAGCAGTTCAACTCAACCCCACAACTTGCAGTAGCTGGACTCCAGCCCTCAGCATGCAGGACTAGTCTGGGTATGCTGAGGCATACCTGTGCCTATCAGCTAGACCAGAAGGCAGGCCCTAAATGAGAGCTACTTGCAATGATGAAACTCACCCTTAGCAATCATGTTTCCCTCTTCAACCTAAGCTGAATTACAGCTTGGAGGTTGGGAGGGGTGGGGGTGTCCATGAGGAAAGCTCATGGGGAGCTCAAGAAACTGTGCCATCTCAGCATGGAGAGATCAGCACAGTCTCTTTGGGTGTCAAGGAGAGTGCAGGAAGAAGGTTGAGGCCCTGGGATAAGAGCTACAACGAAGACCAGGGGCAGCCCTGGCTACAGATGGGGATTTCTGGTCCCTTCTGTGGGAATGATGGGTCACAGCCAGCATCAGAGGGTGAGCTCAGGCCCCAAAGGCAGCAGTTCTTTGAGGACTGTCTGGGATTGCTCACCATACAAGGGCAATTTGCACTTTCCAAGGAGGAGTGAGCAGATGGGGACATGGTGCAAGGAAAGGCTAGTGAGAGGGCAGCAAGTCGCTCCCAGGAGCCAGGCTGTCTCTGAAGCACGGGCCACAGTGGAGGTGCCCAGGGTCAGGATCTGAGTGGGATGCCTTACCTCTAGCATAAGACATGCTTGGTGGGATCTTATCTGTGATCTCTGGCCTTCCACACATGCGCTGGCTATGAATTTGGTCTGCCCCTGTCATGGCAGCTGGCTCTTCTGCATCCCCTTCTCCTGGCCCTGTCCAGGACACACAGTCCCAGTCTGGAGAAAGCAGGTGCAGATGCAAACACCACCTGCCTCACTCTCATAACCAAAGATGAGGCACTGCTGAAGTAATATCCCACAGACATTACTCCCTTCTCCACACTTGCATCTCCCTCTGGCCAACAGTTTGGCATGGCCAAGGGCACTGTTTGCAGCAACAGCATCAGGTCCAGTCACTCCCCTGGGCTCGGGCAAAGGAGATCTTTTGCTTCCCAAGGTACAGATCAGTGGCTCCCCCTCTAATACAAAGTAAGGATTTGCAATGTGATGCAGGAAAGCTCTCCTGGTGAGGAATAGCCTGGCTGGAAGGGTAGAGGAAAAGGGACCTATCCCAGTGCTGAATTCCCACACAGCAGGATAAGCCCATGCCACCAAGGTCTGCTGTGATCTGTCCTCACCTTCCTCATTTCCATCCTTTGCAGATCGGATCGGCTGATAACCTGCTGGCACATCCCCTAGCTGGCTGACCCACCGCACACTAATAAGGAATGAGGTGACAGGAGGTGAGGATTGCCAGCTCTAGTCAGCCTGGCTCTGCCCTTCTCAACCCCCATAGTGGCTCTTCCTACACCACATTGCTCCTGAAAATAATGGGCAAGCACCCCTGCATCTTCAGTGTGGTGGAGCAGGTGTCAGTGAAGCTGGGGACACTATCTCTGTCTGGTGTGCCATCAGGGTGAGCAGCGACCTTCCCTCCCCTGAATTTAGCCATACCTCATGAGGACACCGATCCTGGAGCTTTAGATTTTGTCACTTCATCATAGTGTCTGCAACCCAGAGGTACAAAGGGAGAGATGGTATTGTACTGATGGAGGCAGCCCATGGCCCACAGGTAACGGGACACCCCATGGCCCCCTTGCATGTGGTAATTAGCCTTTCGTGCTAATGCCATCTAATTCAAGGCTCCTTGGAAAGTCAGCAGAGACACCTGAACTTCCATCAGACAAACACAGGCTGCCCAAGGTAGACTCAAGTCTGAAGGCTGAATTTCCTTGATGTGAATAGCCCTTCCGGTGTCTCCTCTGGGATGGTAATCCCTTCCCTCATTATCACATGTTATCCATGAGTTGGTCTCCAGTCTTCCCAGCAGCATTTGGAGGAAGGTCCCTGGGCAGACATGACACAAGCAGCTGGTGGCTGCTAAGGCTGGGTTGCAGCACCCAGCTGCCAGGAACACTGCAGGAAACACAGAACCTATCCCCAACCTTTTAAAAGGCCTCCCCCATCTCCAGCTCTAAATGAGCAAATAATCTACATATTTCCCTTCCCCATCCACATTTCTTGCAAGGGAACAGCCCCTCCTAGTCTGGCCCCTGCAACGTGCCAAACCGTGGCTCCAGCAGCAGCTCATCTCCTTGGAGAGATGCCTGGGGTCCTCTGTGGGCGTTCGGTCTCACAAAATCTTGGATTTGAAATGAATTGATTTAATTACACACAGGTCCCGAGCAGAGGGAAGCCGGCTCTAGTTACTTTTTCTCCTGCTGGTGTGGAGCACTTCTCCTCGTCCCGCACCACATGGAAGGGATCAGGCTCAAGGGCTGAACCCTGAGGCAGGTTTCCAGAGGGGGAAAGAGGGAATGGGCATGTCAGAGCAGAGAAGCCCACTTTGGTCTTTACTCCAGCCCCCTTGTGATATGGGGTGATTAGCAACCTGGCCAAAGGTTGGAGCCTGTCCATGCCCTCCCCAGCTCCAGCAGGCAAGAGGGTCTCCCTGCTACCACGGCTGGCATTGATGACACCAACTGGAAATACCCAGGACTGACAGCCTCTGGGGTCATGCTTGATGTGCATGTCCTCAGCAGAGGGGGAATTGATGGGCCTCATAGAAAGGCAAGAAGAAAGTGTTTCAGTGAGTTTCAGTTCTGGGCCTCTCAAGGAAATCACAGAGCGTCTTGTGATTTAGAGGCAAATATGCAAGACAAGGAGAGCTTTAAGCCACAGGCTTGGCCCACTGCCTGAATTTTTTCCCTCCTCTTTCAGTGTAATTACAGTTGAGCCATGTAGTAATTGGGTAACTTTTTCCAAAGGCATCCTTTCACCCACAGTGAATCATACTTGCCACAAAGAGAACATGGAGGCAGATAAAAGAGAGACATATAGATCCTATGGATTACTCTGATGGAGCATTTTGCCCCCATCCACTTGTTCCTCAGCCCCCGAGCTGTGTCCAGGGTAGGTGCAAGAGCCAGGCACCGAGATTTCCTGGATAATTCCTTCCCATCCATCTAAGACGGCTTCCTCCTGGCTTGCTGTGCCCTACAGCCAAGATGAACTGCACAGTTCTGAGGGTGTCTAGGGGTTCTGTAGAATACAGACTATTTTCCCACCTTTGGTTCCTGTACCTACAAGGTCTGGGTCAGTACCTGGGCAGCCTCTGGGGACAGGAAGGCTTGGTAGTGCAGCTGGGTGACCCTGGATCCAGCTTCGGTCCTCTGCTCCTGGGGTTTCACCTGGACCACAAAGAGTTTCTGAGGTACTATGTGCGCTCAGTGATATTTCCTCTGCTCCTGATTTAGCCAGAGCTGAAGAGCCCAGCCCTACTCCCAGACCCTTCCCGCCAAGTCACAATCCATCTGATCATTTTCCGTGTGGGATAAAAGCCTAGCATAGTAAAACACTCATTGTAAAACTATTTTCCATTGGCCTCACAGCCACACACAGTTGGATCTCCTCCTGGAGCGTCCAGCAGCCTGCTTGGAAGCATTTGGTTTAGCATCCTGGAGAGGAGCCTGGGTGATGGTGGGAGGAGGCAGCTCTGCCTAACAGGCCCTCCCTGCCCGCAAAACCAACCCCTCCCACCCTTTCCTCGGTCTGATTGGCGGGTGGGGTGGAGAAGGGCTGGGACAATTCAGCTCTCCATCTATTTAAAGGCAAGGGTGGAGCCCCTTCAGCTACTTGCCTGGGACTCTTGCACCTTGGTGGAGAGGAGCATTAGCCTGCAGAGCAGCACCATGTCTTGCGTGAGTAGAGAAAGGGATGGGGCAGCTGGTGCATGGCTGCTGGGGCAGCTGTGCTGGAGGTGGTGCTTCATGGAGTGGGACTGTGAGGAATGTATTGGCTTGGTGTGAGGGTACTTGCACTATTCTCCACCTGCTCATCAGCCTCCATGTCAGAGGATCTGCTAGAACTGGGTTCTTGCTGCTGGGGAGGAAGGATTCCTAAAAAAAGGGTGGCTGCGATTTCTTGTCCTGGCAGGAGTAATTTTTTTTTTCACCTGCAGGATCCCTTTGGGGAGGTATGTGGGGGGTCCTTGCTGGGTTGGCTCCCAAGCTGGGGTAACCTGTTTTACAGGAGCTCTGCTCTGGGGAAGCAGCTTTGGTAATATTTGTTGTTCTCTGAGCATCTATCTCTTCTGGGCAGCCTTGCTGCTTGCTTCCTGGCTGAAGTTTTCATGAGTCACTGAATCGATATGTCTCCCTTTCTTGTAAGGAAATATGCTATACAGAGGTGTCCTTCTGTGAGTGTCAAGGATGGCTGAAGAGATGCTTGTGTCAGAAGAGTGATTGCACTTCTTTAATTTACCTTTCATCAGACTGAGGGTGTTTAATCAGGGAGTGTCCCAAGTGCAGGCTTACTTATTAAAGTGGGATGGGGAAAGATTATTATTATTATTGGGGTCTTGCCCCTGCTATGATAAAAAAATTAGTACATATGAGAAACTGGGGAGAGATGTGCACACGGAGTAAGAGAATGCTCTTGCAAAGGCTGAGACTGCAAAAAAAAAAAAAAAACAACCCCAAGCCCTTAGGAGCTGGGGACAAAAGCCTCTGAGCCCCTGGACCTGGGCAAGGCTTAAAGTTCAAACCCAAGCCAGGAGAAGGGAGCGGAGGCTCCATCCCTGAACAGCCAGGCCTGTGTGGGATGAGGTGAGACCCACAAGGCACACAAGTGTGTTTGGGGCAGGCTGGGTGTGATGGGAGCTTGCGGGTACTCACATTTCACTGCTGTGAAATACAGATATGTTGATGAAAGCAGCAGGAGAAATGTTGGGAAATTGGGCACATGTCCCATGTGACTGGAGTAACTTCTCTGGGATGTCACTAGTGCAATGCCCCAGGGGAAGGGAGCTTCCCTGTCTCTCCAGCCATCCAAACCAATGCACTGTCTTGCAAGGCAGCATGGAGAGCTGCCAAGTCAGAGCAAGTGAGCCAGCAGGTAGTGAGCTAATGTCTCTGCCTCTGTGTTCCCCAGGGACCAGTATGCACCAACTTGGGTCTCAAGCCTGGCCAGCGCCTCACTGTCAAAGGGAAAATTGCACCAAGTGCCAAGAGGTAAGCTGTGCTATGCTGCCCAGGCATGGCTAAGGCACCACACTGAGTTGTCTTCTGCTGGTGTGGGACAGAAGGAATCCCTCCCTTGGGTGGGAGAAGAGCTGCTTTGGAAGGGGTTAACACCAGCAGCGCTTCCCTGTGAGTCATTGCCTAATGCACATTGCAGACACACACTGCTGCCAAGGGGCTAAGACAAAGCAGATGTGAAGCCCCAGCTGCATGCACTGGCAGTGACCACATCCTTTCTAGCGCAGAGTGAAGGAAATGGAACCTGTGTCTGTACTGAGATTTGGGTTGAGACCATTCCCACAGCCACATCCTCTCCCCTGCACGAAGACGGCCCAGGAGCTGGGACACCATTATGTTGCCTTGCTTCACTGGGCAGGAGGAGATTCTAGGCCAAGCACCTGGGAGGTCTTGGATGCTCTAAGCTAATGGTGCAAATGGAAAGGCTGCGTGTTGCAGCAGGGTGTCTCAGGCTGAAGTTTGCTTTCACCCTGTGGAGATGCCTGTCAAGCGCTAGGGGAGGAAGGCGGTGAGTAGGCAGGTAGAAGTAAGTAGAAATGTGCTCCTAACTCTTCAGGAAATGGGGCATCTGGGACCCCCAGGGAAGCCTCTGCAGCAGCCCCCAGCCCTTGTGCAGGTCTGTGGCTGGTGAGGCCTCTTGGTGGGTAAGGTGGAGTCCATAGCTGCTGTACCAGCACTAGCAGTGTTCCAGGAAACATGTCCTAGCTCTTCTCAGTGCCTTTGAAGTTCGATAGCGTCGGAGAGCAGCCTCATGGTCTTTCTCTTGCCAAATAATATGCCTCCTCTCTTCTCATCTGGGTAAGAGGCCTGGAGGCAAGGTGGACACTGGGCTGGGAAGCTGCTTCCTCCTACTGCCACTGCAGATGCTTTGGGATAGCTAAAGACATGGTAATTATTTCAGCTGCCTGCAGGGCGGGGAGAAGGCAGTGGCTGTCAGGCAGGGTGCAGCACCAGCTAACTGTTTGGAGCTGAAAGGAAATTTATGAAAAGCAACTGACTCCTTGGGAGCTGGTTTGGGTGCAGGATAATGCCCTGTTCAGGGCTAAGTGCTGAACCTTTCTCTTGTTAAAAGCTTTGTGGAAACTAAGCTGTGTCTCTCCCAGGGATGGCACTGTGGGACTCATCACCGCAGCAGGAGAGAGTACCTCTTACTGACACAGCACCATCTTTTTAGGGAAGCTATGCAGTTTAGCCAAGTGTTTCTCTTTGGTTACCCTCAGCTGGGCTTGAAGCAACAGACCCCGATATGTTCATGGTAATGAGCAAACATGTTACCATAGTATTGATTAAAACAGTATTGATATCTTTCTCTGCAGCTTTGTGATGAATCTGGGGAAGGATGCTTCACATGTCGGGCTTCACTTCAACCCCCGTTTTGATGCTCATGGTGATGTGAACACCATTGTGTGCAACTCAAAGAAGGTGGAAGAGTGGGGTGCAGAGCACAGGGAGACTGTGTTCCCTTTCCAGAAGGGGGGTGCAGTGGAGGTGAGGCCTGGGATGCACTCTCTGTACCTGCCCTGGTGAAGGGAGGGTGTTTGGCACAAGGCAACAAACTGCAGGGGCTGTCTCAGGACTGTCTGTACAGGAGATGGGTGGCTTCTCTTGCTTGGCCAGCACCACCATCCAGCACTCTGAGCAGGGATGGAGGGTGAGGATCAAATGTGCAAGCTCCAGCTAGCTCAAAAGGAAGTTACTATTGAACTTAATAGGCAATAGGCATCTCTTGGGAGACCAGAATACACTCCTGTTAAAGAGCAGGTTATGCTGCTGAGCATGTTCACTCTGCACATCAGAGGGTGGCACAGCAATGCAGTGGAGTGGGGAAGACTTGAGGATATCTTGGCAGAAACTTTGACTCTTCCATTTGTTTTGCAGGTCACTTTCGCTGTTAACCAAAATGATCTGACGGTCCACCTACCAGGCCACCAGTTCACGTTCCCTAACCGGCTTGGTCTCTCTGTCTTTGACTACTTTGATACACAAGGCGACTTCACGCTCCAGTCCATCAGCTGGGAATAATTCCTCTGACAACTCCATCTCAAAGATACAGAAAAAGTGATCAATAAAGAAGAGTTTTGGTCTACTCTGTCTCAATCTAGTATGTTTCATACTACAAGTCCACATGGGTTGTTCACCTTGCTGGGGGGGATGGGGGGGAGGAGGGTAGCCACTTTGCCAAAGTACTGTAAGTGGGTGGCATTGTGCCAGCCTTGGTCCTTAAAGTGATGGATGGAGAGGAGAGTGTGCAGTAAAGGCTTGGGAAGGCAGAAGGTGAAAAGCCCAAGGAGAGCCTCAGGAGGAAAAACTGGGGCTAGATGTGACTAGAGGGGAGAGTGGAAGGGTCCCGTAGGCAGTCATCCACTCTTGAGTTCTAGACTGACACCTCACCCTGCCTGAGTAAAGTGGGTTGATGAAAACTATCTCTCCCTAAACTGAGCATCCCTTGTTGGCCTCAGACAACTTTGAGTTGCTGCACTGGGTAAACCTAGTGGAGCATGGCGTGAGGGGAAAGTCCTCAATTGTGCTAGCTTTGGCCTGCGCCCCTCTGTAAAGGCAGATACTGCTCATGACACAGCTCTCCTATGTCTTCTTGGGACCTCTTGCTGCTATATGGGGACAGCAGTAGAAAAGGATGCCTTGCTGGGTGTGGCAGAACATGTAGTGGGCTTCCCATCCAAATCCTTTCTTCCCATAACTGCAGAAGCACAAATCCTGTTGTGCTAATGTGGCACATGAGGGCAGTAACCTAGAGGAGTCCAGTTTTATTCTGCCCCATGTGCCTTCCCTGGTCCATCCAGAGCTGGGAGAGGCAACAATTCCCAGCTAGGGTGTGGGATGCTAAGGATGCGTCCATTATGCTTTTGTTACCCCTTCACTCATATTAGCTCAAACGAGCCTGAGCACCTCTCAGTCTAAACTGGGGCTAGCCTCTGAGGAGTCTGGAGATGATGAGACATGTTTGATGTTACAGCATAGTTCTCACTGGGCTGTGGGTTGTTACCCAATGTGTCAGACAGCATCTGCCTCAGGGGCTCTCCCAATCTAATGCTGCTTTGGCAGCAATGACTACCGCTGTTGGGCAGGCTGTGCCTGGTGGGCATAGGGAAGGTAGGAGCTGCCCTTTCCACAGTGCACAGCAGTTACCGGGTAGGCCTGGGACGGAAGGGCCCAATCTTTGGGTCCTCACTTCCAGGCTTGGCCATGAGCAACATGGAGCACAAACAATCTGACATACTACAAGGACTCCCTTCAGGCCTGGCTGGGGCATTTCCACCCTTTAAGCAGTTGCAGAGCAGCTGAAGCACGGGAACTTGCTCCTACGGCTGGCGCACCTCCCATTCTTGCTCCATAATTCATGAGGCTCTGCCAGGTCCTGTGTCTCAGGTACCCATGCAGAGGGAGACTTGGCTGCTAGGAACTGGGGGGCTGAGGAAGAAGAGAGAGATGAGTTGGAGACAAGAGCTCAAGATGGGCTTTTGAGGTGGGAGGCAGGAACGCTTGGAGTGTACAAGCAACTTGAGGGTCTGCAGCCGGATGTCTCTTAAAGCTCTGTGTTGCCCAAAGCCAGTCTGCTCTGGATGATCACATCCTGCTCTTTAGGGCTACACCTACAATAGTAAATAGGACATCTAACATTGCCACCCTGTGCATAGGCATGGGTGGGGGACAGCATAGCTTGGGGACTCTTCCCATGGGGTGGTATGGGTGAGGCCATCCTTTCTGGGGATAAGAAGTGTTTAGCTGTATGGAATTGAGCCATGCTAGGCTAGATTGCCTCAAGGCAAGAGACCTGGCCCAATTTATGCAGTGGTGTTGAGACAGTCTGGCAGACTGGGGTACACTTGGTAGGCCATAAAGTTGGAGATTTCAACCACAGCAGGGACATGGTGCTGGTGAGGGCCCCCTCCATGAGCTGTGACGGTGCACACATAGCGGAGCTCTCTCCTTGCAGCTTCCTCTGCTGGGCTGATCTTGAAAACGGAGCAGATATGCTGACTTCCCCAAACTGTACTTCGGGGCAATCTCACAATGTCCCTTAACTGCACTTAGGAGTCTTTTTTTAGAAAGACTCTTCGAAGATTTTTTTTGTGGAGGGTGGGGGAAGAAAGCTGAGTGTGTGCTTTACCACAAGAAGATGAATCTTATTCAGGTCTCCTGTTAGAGCGACTGCTTCTTGAAGTGACTCACCAGTCCTGTGAAATCTGTGACTCACTGTTGTCCTGACTTTGTTATGGCTTGGCCCGTTGCTACCAAAGAGGTGAGGGGTGGTGAGGGTTCCCTAGCTGTATAATTTAGATATATCGAGGTTGACTGCTCCCTTCCACCCACTCCCTGGCCTTGCGCAATGTGGAGACTGACATGTGAGGGCTGAAGGACCTGAGGATGGAGTCAGGATCCCCGAGACAAGCATCCTTCTCCCAGTTGAGGTGGGTAAGTGGCCTTGCAAAGGGGAAGGCACCACAACAACGACAATGGAAGACACCACACGCTGGCATGGAAGGTGATAAACTTTTATTTCTCAATTCGACCCCAGACAAAGGCTGGGAGATGTTCCCAGCCTGGGGCACTGCTCACCCCTTGCTTTCCCCCATGGACCCCGACAATTCCCTGAAAGCTGGGGGGATGCTGTGGCCTCCCACTGGATCCCTCGCCACCTCCCAGGAGGGTGCTGGGGGCCGTGCTGTGCCCATCCCGCTGTGGCCAGGGCACCGGCGATACTTGCCAGCGAGCAGGGTGTAGAGAAAGGGGTTGATGCAGCTGTTGCCATAGGCCAGGCAGGTGACACCAAAGTTGAGGTAGGCCTGGGTGGTGGGACCAATGCCCAGCCCCTCACCCTGGTAGAGCCCAGCCAGCTGCCATGCCCAGAAGGG